AGCCACTTCCAGGGTCTCTGATGAAAAGGGCTTGCCTCCAGGGCATCACAGGCCAAAAGGTCCCAGAAAAGGTCAACTTCATCTGGAAGAGCAGTTCATGGTGTAAAGAGCAGCGTGGGCTGGATGCTGCTACACAAATGTTTGTCCTCTGGCGCTTTAAGTCTTCTTCCATCATCTTTATAACCCGTCACTTGATGATGACACACATCCAGGAAATGGCGTCTTGTGTCATATGAGGTGAAGTATTTTCAGAACAGCCGGAAAGGAAAATACTGTACTTCACTGTGCTTCACATTTATCCTAGTTGAACCAAGAGCTGCTAAGTTAGCCACGCTTATTATGACCTAGCATTGGTTTGCCACGTCTCAAGTTTTAGTATAAAATAGTCTTTGTAAAAAGAAACAAGAGGAAAAATAGAGCAACCATGTCGTGCTGTGATTAGCCTTCCTGCTGCAGCCTGGTCAAACCGCCATGTCATGCAAAATAGTTTCTCTTTAAATAGGTTTGTACATCTAAACTCTTCTGCTAATGCGCTAATGGCCGAACGTAAATTCATTTTTCTGGGTTTTTCTGGTCGGGAGGGGTGCAGGTCAAGCTAACGATCTGGGCGAGAGGCGGGGAAAACCCATCATGCACTGGGGGAACATGCAAACTCCATGCAGAAAGACCCGGGCCGGGATTTGAACCCAGGACCTTCTTGCTGCAAAGCAACAGAGCTACCAACTGCGCCACTGTGCATCTTTCATACGTTTTGACAGAAACTGAGTTGGAAAACTTTTCTTTTGCCTGACTTTGTCACTTTTATGAATTATTGTCATTTTGGTTCTTGAAATACCAGAATTTCCACTTAAGTTTATATTTTGGCTGTCTGATGATGTAATTTTTAAATATTAATTGATTGGTATTTTAATCAGTTACTCAGTGCTTTGGTAGACTTTTTACTAAATCCATTTTTACTCGTGTGTAATATCTTGAGCAGCTACTTTTTACTTTTCTTTGGGTGAATTTCTGGCTCCTCCATGTCTATAATCTGTTTCTTCCTGTCCGTATCTTTCTCTCCTGGTTTCTGTCCATAATGAGCGTTTCCTCCTCACTCCCGCCACCTATTCTCTCGCTTCCTCCCCTCCTCCTCCCTCCTCCTCTCTTCCTTCTCTCCCCTTTCTTCCTCTCCACTCGGTGAGCTGAATTGGAGAAGCTTATCGCCTAGCAACCACAATTAAAGTACAACAAGTCAGTGGCAGTTGCAGCCACCAACCAAGCTTTCGCAAAACCTTCGTACAACCGGCGGCTTTGGAAGGAAGGCAGGGAAACGCGGGCCGGGGAGGAATGGGGTTGAAGTTGAACAGGTGAGCAGCAGTTGGAGTTGTGACTGAAGCGACGCTCTGAGGACTTTAGGGGAGGCGTTAGATCTAACAGGTATGTCTGTTGGAAGCGACGGCTGACGAATCCTGAAAATGCCGTGTTGTGTGCTTTGGAGTCCTGCGCTGGTTCAACTCCGCATGTGTGTTTGTTTTGTTTTGTGTGGAACAGCCTCACGCTGAGGAGGATTATTGCTTTTCGAAGCTTCGCCCAGAAAGACGGCTTATAGTTTACCAATCGGTGTGATTTCACAGCTGCAGAGGAATGCCAAGTTTGTGGTGGAGCCACCTGCCTCCATGATGCACAGAGTGAAACTGGAGTCTAATGGATTCACCGGGGGCCAGACGAAAAGATTCATTCCCTGTGCATCATTAAGCCCTCTGTCATGTGGCTGTGTATTCATTTGTTTTTTCTGCAAAACAAACGTTTTATACTGCAGAAAGTTGAGATTTACTGTACGAATGACAGAAAAAGACTGAGAATAATAGTTGATCCAGATGGCATTGCATTCAGAAACATCACCTTTTGGCCTGTCACAATAATCAATAACTCAATTAATTGCATGATAAACTAAAACAAACTAAGTTATTTCCATTGCTATGATTTATTGTTTCTCTTTTTTTCTCTCTTTCTACCAAAAACTGGATGATAAAAGTTTTCAGTTTGGTTTTTTTGATCTCAACCAGCTCTTATTTTGAAGGACAATTTTGTTTACAAAGACTTTAAAATTAATTTTATTTGTTTGTTTATTTATTTTGGAAATATAAACATATTCCCGTTCCAGTGTTAAATGTTCATTAGACTTAAAGTTTACTGAGCTCTATCAGTTATTTTGCCATTATCGATATATCACTTAAAAATTGGAGTTGTGACTGACACATGACACCAACATGAAGAAGTTATTGTTTATTGCAATAACTTCTGGGATAATTTATCATCAGGACTTCATAGATGTGTTACAACCCATTTCCTTTTTTTACTTATTCCTGTTTGGGCTGATAACTCTTTTAGACTCTGATGAAACCAGAATAAGTCAAAACGTTCGTTCTGTAGAAAGTCTGAATGAATTCTGCTCTGCCTGCAAACGTCAGTCTAAGTTCATTTGAAGTGAATTCTGGTGCGGTTCGAATGTATATGTGAACGGCAGGCACTCCAAAAGCAGGAAGTGGACGACAGAGCAGGGCATTCGGGATAAATACAACCAAAACAAACGCATTAGCCAAACGCTCACTAGTGGGAGACATTATTTTTTAAAAATAATAATCACACGACTGCTAAAATAATTTCAGTTTATAGTTTGTGGAGAAGGAAGTCGTGCTCAGCGTCTTCAGAGGTTTTTGTCATTTTCTTGGTGCAGCCAACCAAAGAATTTGGTTGGTTTGTGAAAGTGAAAGCAATCTTGATAATTGAGTCACAATTGTGTCCTGATAAAATAATTAACCTGTAAGATGTACAGCAGGAAAGAGCCGAGTTTTAGGAAGGAGTAAAACCTTTGTGTTTCACTCAGGCGGGTCCGGCTTCAGTCCTGTTGCTCCACCTGAAACCAAAGACTGAATTACCTCCTCAGGTTCTCTAGAGCTCCAGTATTTACCTAAATATTTGATTGTGGTGAGTTGAAGCAGAAACTTTTCCTTTGGAGACAAACATCAAATGACAGCAAAAGCATTTTATTCAGGGATATCCTGAATTTATTCTCCTTACATAAAATGTCTTATTAATATCGACATTAAATTGAACTGTTCATATTTAAAACCATATTAAATACTTAAAATAACTTTGGCAATATGTTGGTAGCAAAACGTGTCAGATATTTTTATTGTTGCTAAGGGCAAAGGTGTTGAAAATTTAAAAAGCTGCAACTAACAATTTAACTGAGAAATATTTTACATTGTCACCAAGATTTGTTTATAGTTGCAGAGTAATCCTAAAGTATTGGTAAAATGTTGATCATTAATTCTGTCTCATAGAGCATCCTAAAATAGCCCTCCCCCCCCGCAGACGTCTCTGCCAAATGAAGGCGGGCCGCCCGCCGTCCTCGCTCTGAGGGAGCGTGGTAATACCTGAGGAGGCGGTGGGGGAGCTGCTGGGGTAAAAGGTCACCATATCCTCCCCCTGCCAGGAGCCTGAAGCCATATGAAGAGGCTGGATATGTGCTTAGAAGTCAGGTGCTGGATAAAATGTCAACTTGTCGCTCACATAAAAGCCGCGCTTAAAACGCCAGAGTAGCATCTTTCTGTTCAAAATGTCACAGAGTGACGGACATGAAAGCGCCGAGCGTCGTCTCTGATGTCCAGTTTGAATGAAGCATCTCTGGCTGTTTGAAGCCTCTGGAGTTTCCACCAGTTATTTCAATGAAACCAAACAGAAAACAAAGAAAATGTGAAGAAAGGTATCCCCACAGAATGACCTCACTTCCTCTGTGTCCTGTATGTGGTTTGTATCAACCTACAGATGGACTGTCTTTCATAAAGCCCAGATTTGGTCGGTGCATGACCGGTAGACTTTCCCATCTTAGCTAAATGTTTCTGCAGCTCCTAAAGCTAATTGGTTACTGGATTGTATGTAGGGGAATCAGAGTAACGGAATCTGAGTAACGGACAGATTCAGATTCAGAAACAGTGTCTTGTTGTTAACTTACCATCCAGAAACCACTTGTTGCATTATTTTTGGTTGCGCAGGAGGCTCCACTTCTGCTTCTCAAAGATTTACAATTGTATAATTGTTCGTCTGATGGCAGCCATTTTCACGTGTTAGTGTAAACGTTCAGTTGGGGGGCGTGGCCAGCAGCAGCTTATTTGGATTTAAAGTGACAGGACGCCCTGAAACAACTCAAAACAGGCAGAATTGACTAAAATCTCGTTATCTAAGAACACTTTTGTGCAAAAAAATTAATTAATTAAATGCCATGTTTTGTATTGCCCATATACCTCGCCTCACCTTTACGGGTTATCATTACGTCTGCAAAGTACTGGACACAGATTATATTTGAGATGAAAGATTCCAGCTCATTCGGTTTTACTGTTAGCGTTAGCTTATGGTTGGGAGTGATTGACAGAACTGGCTTTTTCCTCTCGCAGCAGGCTTCAGTTGAAATGCCCAAATCTCAAGCTGAGTCCCAAGATGCTGCTGACGATGCACCGTAGCAGGGTTCAGCGTTGACCCATGTTGGTCCCAAACGATGAAGACCCATGTACATGTGTGCATACACACTGCTGAGCATCACAGGAAGACGTGGACGGCGTCAGCAGCTCCGTCTGTGAACCTCCATCTTTCTGTTTGGGTGTATTTTGGGTTGTGCCCTAAAGGTTGTTCTCCCTTTGGAGGGAAGAATCTGAATGTCCCCTGTTGAGCAGCGCCTGCAGGAACGATCAGCTTCAAACTGATACTTTCTGAACTCAGAGGACTTTACCTCCAGGAAAAAAGGCTTTTAAAAACACCTCTCACTCACCCTTCCTTTTAAACACAAACAGCCGCACAGTTTTCACTCTGCATGCAGATAGTCACCAGGTAGTTGCCTGAACCTCCTGAACCATCAAGGCTGGAAACGCTTAAAAGCATCCAGTGGCATTTGAGTTTTCTGTAAGTTCCTGGATGCATTCCTTGGTTATTCTAATGAACGATCTTCTTCTCTGTCTTTTTAGAGTTTGGGCTCCGCAGACCGAAAAGAAAACCAGCAAAAGAGGTAAGTCTCTCGATCGACCGCCTCTTCATCCGTCCATCCAAGCAGAGATTCTTAATGAACCGTTATTTGTCTGCATGCAGAGTTCAGTAGTAGTAGTTATATTTACTCACTTCCATTTACCTGAAAAACATTTTTACTCTGCTGTACTTTTTACTTTTACTTGTGTAACTTTATTAGGAAGTATTTTTACTCCTACTTGAGTAAAATTTCTGGATTTTCTCCCCACTGAATGAAAAACAAAGCAAAACTTCACCAGGCACAGACACACACCAATTACATGCATAATTTTCATTTTGGTCCAATTTTTAAATATCAAATGATTGATAAGTGGATCAGTAGACGTTTTACCAAATACCACTTTCTTGCTTTTGAGTGATTTCTCGGACGGCTACTTTTTACTTTTGCATAAGTAAAACTTTTGGCTGCTCTACCCACCTCTGTACATGTAAGAACGTCCAGTTATTAGAAATAACTCGTCCTTATAAATACACCTCGTTGCTTTGCTATAGCTGTTTTCCGTCAGTTTTCTGAATGTTGTAAATTAAAGTCGGTGTTTTGCTCAGTGTTTTTCATTTTGCTCTGTTCCTTTAAGCTGCTCACTTGAAACTTTGACCTTATTCCTCTGTGTGCAAATGTAATCAAATTTCCATGTTTGTGTGTGTTTGAAACACAAGTTGGATTATGAGCCATAATCCAGTCTACAGCAGTAATTCCTCTCAGGCTTTCTGGTTTTCACAGCGTTCCACTATGTGGACTGAAAAGAGCCACAAAAATAAATAAAAATCTCTGTGCTGTTGAAAATAATGTTTGAAGAATTATATAAGTCTGAATTGGAAGCATGTCTGCAGACACTTAACGCTTAGATTTACGTTTGTTTACCAGTAAAGTAAATGCAGCATCTATTCTGAAAGGAAATACCAGATCTGGTGGAATTACTAGATTTGGATCCAAGTGAACCAAATCTGGGTTTGTCTCACTTAATTGAAATTTCACTTAAAATAAATTTTATTCAAGTGAAATTTTAAAACCTCACATATTGCACTCATTTTACAGACAGATTTAAACCTTTCTGGTCATTTTGATGATTATAATTTACAGCTGATAAAAAAGCAAACAAATTCAGTTTCATTTGGAATATTAAAAAGTTTGTCCATGATTTAAAACATGCACTCAGATAATCCTCATAAGGCTTTGGTTATCCCTCTTACAACTGAACACAGTTTTTTCTTCCACCCAACTTTCCATCAACATGTTTGGGTATAGATCTCTGACAGCTTGTTTAACAAACTTCAGAATTGCACATGCTCTGAAAAAACTAAATCTTTTTTGGTTTCTAGTACAAATATCTTGGTACACTCAGAATAAGACAAAACTAACTTACAAGTCATTTTTCAGCAAGATATACGCACTTGTTTTAAGTACATTATTCCTTAACATTGATCAAATGTTTTAGTTCCATTGGCAGAAAAAGTATGGGAAAAATGTTATAAGTGAAATAATCTGCCAGTGGAACGAGAACTTTTTATCAGTATTAAGGAATTATTTACTTAATGCAAACCTCTAGACGTCACTGCAAAGCTTTTAAGTTAATTTGTTTTATTTCAAGTGTATTGAGCTAATTTTTATTTGATTAAATCAGTGATGATTTTAACTCCCTGATTTTCTCTGAAAGAGTTTCTTCTTACATCTTCCTTCCATTTCTGGTCAAGTTCAGCCAAGTTTGCATGAGCACATAATGCATGTCGACGTGTTTATTATATGTCATTTTTAACTTAAACACAAAAAGCCGCCTTGCTATCGAGCTCGATCTGTGCAGAGAGATGATGCTTTGAGTGAAGAATGTGAAAATCTCAGCCGTGTTTATCTGGTTACGTTCAGTGTGCCTGGATGTGATGTGGAGGTTTTTGTTCTGTCTGAAGAAGCCTCATGATGAGGCATGATGAGGATCGTTTTCTGGCACAGTGAGCGCTCGGTGTGCCGGAGTCAGAGACATCTGTTGCCAGGAGACAAGCGGCTTTGGTGGAGAAAATGACAAGTAACAGGAGCGTGCCTGGGAATAAATGAGACGTACATGCTACTACACACCCATCTAAAACCGCACGGTCATGTGAGGGAGCGGACATGAGCACCGCAGTAACTATAGAAAGTAATATGCAGGCTCATATTCACGTGTGTTTACTTAACGTCAGAAAGGAGAACAGCATCATGGCGTGGGATTTTTCAACATGTCTAAACAAATCAACGAGGATCGGCTGGAGTTTACGTTACGTATGTCATCAACGTCGGGCGCATTATAGACTTAAAGCTGACTCAATACGCCAGGCAGATATGGGAACAGCATTGATATTTTCCGCCTTTCTTCTATTTTTAGAGTCGAAAAAACTTAAACAGTTGAAAATATGGAACATGAATAGATCCTGATCTGCTTTTCCATTGTTTTTGACAGCAGATTAGCAATCTTTAAACAATTTTACAACAAAAAACAGCCTTTGAAACCGTGCATATGGCTGATGGAGTATCTGAAAGCTGCAGGATGACGACACATCGGACTCTTACGTACGTTGAGGTGATGTGAGTGTTGAGAGAAACGGAAAGTTTTGTTGGTAAGAAAATGTTTTGCCTTATGAATCAGTATGATTTTGTCCGAAGTGTGTTTGTTGGTGGTGAAGATAGACGTGGAGGATCCAGGTTGAAGTGAGAGAATGATGGTTTTAATGACGAAGTGTACAGAAGTCCAGGCAGCACAGGGAGTGCACTGGGAGCACAGGTAAAAAGAATGACTGTGCTGTGCCGTCGAACGGGGAGCGGGGAACACAGGTGGGATTAAATACACAGAGGGAAATCACGGGAAACCAAGGACATCTGGGACGAGACGCATGGACCAATAAACAACCAGCTCACCGTTTTGTGTGGATGAAGAAGAGCTAAAGTACCAACAGGACCTTCAGATTCACATGATGAAAATTTAAAGGGAATTCATTATGCAAAATTTACATTTTCCGGCTGTTTGTTCTTCGGTTTGGGTAACAACTGCTTCTAAAAACAGCCAAAGCGCTTAAGAAGAAAAACACCCCAAACATTTTTTAACAATAACTTAATGCTTTTTGGGTGAATGAGACGTTTCCTAAACGTCCCGATTAAGTCACTGCGCCATTACCTAGCAACAGCATATTTGATCAGCTGTACAATGGCAGCTGGAAAAGACAAGTGTTTTGTTGTTGATTTGCTGGATTGTGCTGGAGGCTCCACTTCTTTTTTTCTTTCATTGAAAATGAGGAACCAACCTGGTTACAAAATGAATACATGACCCTTAACACAGAAACACCAAGTAATTGTGTGTGATCAAGTGAGACTTTCAGCTGCTTCCGTTCACTGCCTTTATGTTTTACACACCGACTGTTTACTCATCACACTGAGACGAGTTTTAATTACAAGAACAGTGTGATAAAACTTCATTTCAAGTTGTGAAACCTTGAAACCGAAAACCAGATCATGCAAAAGATTAAGTTCAGACTTTCCCAGTGGCTTTTAGAAACTAACTTTAGGGTTAAGTAATGAAATTGGTGAACTCCAGTTGTCTATAAATCCACTCTATGAAGTAAGCGTCACTCGTTTTGGCGATCCCTCTACATTATGCAAACACACTTTACTTTTGCACCATGTTGTTTTTCTGTTTTATAGCTGAAACTTTCTTGAAAGTCCAGTTTTTTCTCATTAAAGTTTCTGTTACTTACAGCATGCTGTTAGTTTATCGTCATGTTTTCGAATGACTGAATCATTTTTCCCTCTCAGCAGTAGCTACTTGTTGCTGTGGTTACTCGTGACACATAAACCAAAGGCCTTAAACAATTAATCCATGCTATAATGTTCGTGACATCACCGATTTTGTGATTTTTTATTTCGTCCGTAGCCAGAAGAGGCTTTGACTCGTCAACCACAGCGGTTGAGTTGCTCTTTTTTTGTCTCTTTTTTTCTTACTTTTCGGCATTAATTAGAAACAAGCAGAGCGATAAACTCTGCATCCAAGTAGACAGAGTGCAGAGATGCAGATGGAGGATCATCACACACACACACACACACACACACACACACACACACACACACACACACACACACATGCACACACACACACGCGCACACACACACACGCACACACACGCATACAAACAGACCAAGGCTAATCTAGAAATGAGATAATAGGGATTTCTTACTATTCCCACTGTCTGATTAGTAACACATTTTTTTCATAACCCGGCTGTTTTTCCTTTCATCTCGTTTCTTTTCTAGATTTCTGAAATCTTAGTATAAACACGGATCGAGGAGTTATTTACAATAGTGGTGATAGTGGTAGGAGAGGGAGCTAACTCAGCGGGAGAGAGTGGACCGCCGCTGGCCTTCGCGCAAGACTTTTTTACTTTTTGTGTGGCTTTTGTAAGCACACCAGATCTCAACAACAAAGAGTGTTTTTTTAGAGCTTTATTGTTTATCTTGTGTTGGTTCATTACATGAAGATGGTATACTTATGTCAGCAAAATAAGTAACTGTGTGTGAGAGCATTTGTAATATTTGATGTGGCTTGGCTTCAGGGAGTCCCAGGAGTAGACTCAGGACTCAGCAGGCAGAGACAGACATTGTTTGGCTAAAGCATCCACATAATTATGTGTGTTTGTGTGTGTTAGTGTGAACTAGATATCAAGGTTAGAAAATGAGCTCACTTTGAAGAACCTTTCAATGAACCCCAACCTTTTTTTCAGCCTGAGTCTCAGTGCAAACTTCACTCAGCTGAATGTATCAGCACTTACAATTCTATCTGCTTTTAAGGCATTTTAGACGCACTAAAGTAGTTTTCTATAATCTTGTTTGCATAAGATGAAATATAAACCGCTACATTAAGAGGAATCAACTCATTAGAAACAGAATATAATGTAAAATCCCTGTAAAATATTCCACTTATAAGTGTATTACATGTGAGATTGGTTTATGATTGTCTCATTTCTATA